ATATATATATATATATATATATACTACTTGTAGTTGCACGCACACATAAACCACTAGCAGGCTATCTGCTCAGTGTGAGATCACTCAGTTAGGAGCTTTAAGTCAAGCCATATGGGGACTTTCAGACCAGGCAAAGCCACAGTATATAGTGCTGTGCAGCATGTGATGCCACTGTGCACAGAAATATGCTTCACAAAACACTGTTAGAGTCAAACAAAAAACAATCCCAGTTTCAAAATGTAAAACTTTGAAAAAAAGGGATTAAATTGTACCGACAAAAAGACAGGATGATAGTTCAGAGTGTGAGAATATTTTTAATTAACTTCAACCAAAATAAACACCTTGCTTTATTTCTTGCAACATCTCATCTTTCACTTTGAGAGGCCGTTCAGATCTCTGTGTGGTTCTAGAGAAAGGCTATGAACAAATACAGTCTTACCTGTCGCAGATGAATGTAAGAGGCTACACCTGCTTTAGTCAAAGACCAAAGTGATTTGCTGCTAACTTAAAACAACTCTGAAAAAAAAAATGCTGGTTGGTTAGAATTTTATTCTCTAAATTTCTACACTTCCATTAAGTTTGCAAAACAATCATTTTAATRGGAATTGTAGGAATGTTTATTTTAAATCTTTAAGGGTGCTGGGTTCGTCGGGTGTACGAGGGATGAAACAAAGTAAATCACATTAAGTTTGGGTTGACAAAAGTTTCAACTGTTAAAATGTTTCTATGATGCAACAGAAAACCAGGTGGTACAGAACAACTGCTGGAGGCAAACCTAAAAYATATGTATTATACAGTAGAAAGAGTTTGTGAGAAATAACTTAATGATTCCATTTTTCCTCCCCCCCAGGAAATAGGTTTCACACAGTTTGCTCGTTATGTAAAACACGACAAGTTGGATCGAATTGAGCAAAGTTGTGTTTACACTTCTGAAGAGCTGGAAGAAAACTGTACGACTTTGAGGTTTTTGGGAGTGAAGAATGAATCTAAATTTATAATAAAATCTCAGTTTGCAGTCACCTTGGATTTGAATCTTTTATCCTTTTTCGTTTAATGATTACAGTGTTTTATTTTTAAGAAAACACCACTTCAGTGCATGAAGATACAGTACAAGTGTTGGTTTTTCTATCCTTGTGGGGACCTTGCATTGACTTCCATTCATTTGTCTGGTCATTTCTACAGCCTAAACCCCACCCCTTAAACCGAACCTAAACTCACTCTATATCAGAGAAGCCCAAAGTGGGGCCCGTGGGCCAAATTTGGCCCGCCAAGCCATTTGATTTGGCCCACCAACAGTTGTCAAAGTTACAAGGTTGTAGCCTGTTATCCTATGTAGAAACACAGTATTTCCATTGGTCAAATGATTACATGAAAGGGCTGTAGTGAAGGTAGTTTTCATTCATGGTGCTGACATATTAGGATTAAACATGAAACATGAAATGACAAGAAATATTTAGGTCAGATTTAAAACCACATGTAGATTTGTACACTTTATAAGGCCACAAAAACTCATATTTTATCAATTTATGATATGTCCCATGAGCCTTTGCTACTTGAGCGTATGGCAGACTTTCTCCAAGTGCACAGACTAAAACAAAAGAGGGACATTGCAAAGCTTAATCGTTAAAAATAAAGGACTTTACTTAAAAAAGTATTTGTATTTCATGTATTGTATAACTGCATTTGGCCCGCAGCATGGATAGATTTTCATTTTGGCCCCCTCGGGGAAAATGTTTGGGCGCCCCTGCTCTAAATGTTAGTCCTACCCCAACCCCTGACCTAACGATTGCATTTCCCCCCCTGGCTTTTGTCCCCCTTAAGGAAAAGTGGGTCCTCACCAGGCTGTGTGTACCAAGAAAATGGTCACAATTTGTCCCGAACAGGTAACAAAAAAAAGTACACACACAGACCTAATGACATCAGAGGTGTGTGTGGTGGGTGTGAGTCAGGGGTCATCAGGTTCCCTTTCTCTGTGGAGTGTTAAGTGACGGAAGGGCCAAGGTCAGATCTCCCAACCCCCAAATGTGCACATCTTAATGGGCTTTCCAGAAAGAAACACACACACACACACACACACACACACAGGCACACACACACGCGCGAACATAAAGCAGTGGTCTGCATACTGCCAATTCCTAACATTACATTTAATTGCTGGCTTAAACAGATGGTATCCTTAAAATATATAATTTCCAAATRAAAAAATGAATATGTCAGTAAAAATGAATTTGGGTTGTGGTGTGTCTGCAGAAGTCTTAAAGACCCTTTAACAAGCCGCAAATTTACWAACTGCTTCATCTTTAAAATAGTTTCCTTTGGCTGGACTTAGGTAAAAGTAAAGCCAGACATTAAAGCAACAAAGTAAAAAAAAAAAAAAAAAAAAAGAGGTAGTCCTGCGAGAAGGATTGACGATCGATCCGGCTGTCGGTACCTTTGAACGCGACGAGCCGTATATAAAGAGGCTGGCGGGAGCACGAGGGAATCGCACACGCATGCCGGATAAAGAGGGCTGGATTGTGTCCAGGCAGCTCGGAGGTTAGTGCGTCACGGAGGAGCGGAGGACWCGCTAACGCGAAGCCACACACAGACAAGTAAATGACAAGGGAGAGGAGACGATCCGCCACAAGGCACTCTTATTCCTGTTGGGTAAATTATACCTCGGGCTGCTCCGAGCGCCCTCACTTCAGACGGATTGCCGCTGCCCAAAGCTTTATTTCCTTTTATTTTCCAAATCAACGTAAATTTGTGTCCAAGAGGCTCAACAAAGTGCCTGCAAAAATGACTTGGACCTTTAACAAAGAGGTGTGGTTACAGAAAGACATCAGAGGTTTTCGAAAACCGTCTCATCGATTTATTAGGTAGAGTTAGATATTCCAGAGAGGGAGGTCCTGGTTGCTGTTTCTGYAAACAGTGGGGAGTTGTTTGGGCCGTTTTCTTTCATATTTACCCTCTGTGCAATGTCTTCAATCCAATTAAATCTAATTAAATTACAAGGAAAATTTGATTTTCCGTAATTGATCATCATCAATCAGCAGCATCAGCCAGTGGTGACAGCCAAGTTACTGTTCAACTATTCAGAGATGTTCGACTCTGATTGTTTCTCTAAATTAAAGGCTTAACTTTCCTTAAAGGTTTTTTTTTATTTCAAACTAAGATCGTTTCAAGTTGAGAAGAAACAGAGATGTTGTCGTGTCGGTCAAACCTTCTGTAACAATACAGAAGTTTCATTTGTGCGCTGAGCTTCCTGCACCTATATCAAGTAGGCGTGTCTACAGATAAAGTGGGCATTTCCAAAGGAAGGCGTTTCTCAAGGGACACACCTGATTGGATGATCTTTGTGTAGGCATTCCTTCACATGGTTAGCTTACTTTTCTAGCATCAGACTTTCATTTATTTATTTAGTTTCACAAAGATGCTGTTGTAACCGAGGTCATCAGACTTTGGAATAATACTGGCTGGAAGATTATCTTAACCAGCCGTTATTATACATTTATATGAAGACACCACCAGTGTTGGGCTCAATGTTTTCATTCATTATTTCTCTGTGGGTCTTAACAAAAAAAACTCCTGTTTACATTTCAAAATAAGAGCATCATCAGTCGGTAGTGTTTTTTTATGCATTTAGAACAAGGGAACTACATGTTTGTTTTAATGATATGTAAGAAATACGTGTTCAATATAGACTGAAGTCAGATTAAAACACAATAGTTAAATAAATTGATTTGTAAAAGGAATAAGGTCATACAACACCAGAATTCTGGATC